GAGGGTGGAGGGGCAGCGCAGGAGAGGAAGGCCCTCTATGAGATGGATTGATTCGGTGACTGGGGTAATCGGGATGGGTGTGTCAGAGGCAGTGCAGTTGGCGCAGGACAGAGCAGGGTTTAGGGCTGTTGTGCATAGGGTCGCTATGAGTCGCAAACGACTCGACGGCACATAACAACAACAACAACATCACATACTTTGGACATGTTGCTAGGAGAGGCCATTTCTTGGAAAAGGGCAACATGCTTGGGAAGGTGCAGGGTCAGCAAAAGAGAGGAAAACTCTCACCTGGACAGACTGTTACAGTGACTGCAGCAATGGGCTCACCTGTGTCAGAGGCCATGGGGACAGGAGAGGACAGGGTGCAGTTCAGACAGTCACTAGGGTCATACTCGCCTTGACGACATCATCATGCTATCACAGGGGCTGTGTCATTCAGCACAGTGTTAAATGCACGGTGATAAAGGACATTCACACTCTGGGGTCCGCCTGCCTTCCACGTGCAGTTCCTGGTGCTGGCGACCCCGTGCTGGGGTAAGGTGGCCCCTTGACCACATCGCCTCACCCTGCTAATGTCGCGGGTAGCCGGAACGTCCCCTGGATCTGCTTACAGGCTGTGCCCCTCTGCTGGGCAGTGTGGTGACAGGTCTATTTCAAACGTCCTGCGTTCCAGCATCACTGTAGCACTGGGTAAATTCCGGGGCTGGATGTGACCGGCTGGGGCTGGCATCTTCTGGATTTACCTTTGTGACGCTCATCTATGATTTATGAACTAGCTCTGGTCAGGGCTCATGGCCCCAGTGGACTGTCTCAAGTTCACGTTTCCCCCCTTCTCTGAGTCCATCATGGAGGCTGGTGACTCACCAGGGCTGCACGTCTGCAGCTGATGACTCACCTTAACACCAATAGTGTCGCCATCTTTCAGGTAATAAGGGGCTCCTTGCAAATTATCCTGTCGTTTCTTCTTCTTCCGCTTAGCAATTTGCTGGTTCTACAGAGAAACCAAACATCGTCAAGAAGCAAAGCTCACTCTCAAGTTTTAGTTAATTCCTTCCTACGGTGACACCTCCCGTTCACGGGACTCTACTTCGCCACAGCTTTCTTTTGAACAGCGTGGCAGTGATGTGAGCAGAGCCCGAAAGGTCCCAGTGCCCCACCCCAAGTCTCCCACATCTGCTGCGCCAGGGAGGCCCAGACTTTACCCAGCTGGAGACAGGAATCCACTCAAACTTCTCAGGAAGGTGTTTGGCGATCTCGATTTTGTCCACAGGAAGAGAGTAGAAGTCGGCGACTGTCTGACGCAGGGAGGCCGAGGTGCTGCCCCTGGTGGTGTCCCACACCATGTCCCTGGCCGGGGAGTAGGCCCTCTTGCCAGGGAGGTGCAGCTGGGTCCTGAGCAACAGCTCCTGGGGGCTGCACGGGGAGAAGCTGTCATGGTGAAGCCTCAAAAACAAGGAACCCCTTAAAGAATGTGTGTGGTGATGGTGGGCGGGATGGGCTCCTGCCTGGTTTTCTCAGATGAAAAGTTCCCCAAACAGTGAATGGGAGTGGGGACCTCTGTACCTTTCCACCTGAGCTTCTTCAACATTGAAGGAGCGCACAGGCGAGGCCCTGGGGGCCAGCGTTCCTCAGAAAGGGAGGGCGACAGGAGAGGGACATATGTGGCAGAACCTTCTGTCAACTGAACAAACATCTAAACAACGTTGGAGTGAGGATGAGGTAAACATTCATCACTGCTAGTGGGAGACAAATTCCTACACTTTCCCTGGGAAGGATTTTCACTCTCTATTTTAGGTTTCTTCTCAAGGTTAGTTTGTTATGATCCACATAAATGCCTTTGTATAATCAATAAAGCACAGATATTCTTGTGATATTTTCGGTTTTCTGCCAGGATCCAGCTGACATCAGCGATGATATCCCTGGTGCCACAGCCTCTTCCAAACGCAGCTTGAATGTCTGGCAGTTCTCCGTCCTGCTGAAGATGTTTTCGGATGATATTCAGCAGTATTCCGCTGGGAGGTGCTGTGAATGACAGGATGACAGTTTCCACATTCTGCTGGATCACCTTTTCTGGGAATGGGAACAAATGCCAGAGCTCTTCCGTCAGCTGGCCAAGCAGCTGTCTTCCCAATTTCTTGACACCGACTAATGACCTGGAGCATGTTAACTGGTATCCCGTCGATTCCGGGGCCTTATTTTTTTGCCAATGCCTTTAATGCAGCTTGAACTTCTCTCATCACCACTGGCTCTTGATCACCTGGTGTTGTCGTTATTATGTGCCATCTAGTCACATCTTGCAACTCATGCGACCCTATGTATAAGAGCCCTAAACGCCGTTCTATCCTGTGCCAACCTCGCCATCTCAAACACACTCATTTCCACCACTTCACTCACAGAATTGATCCATCTCATTAAGGGTCTTCCTCTCCTGCGCCGTCCCTCCACTTTCCCAAGCATGATGTCCCTCTCCAAGGACCAGTCCCTCCTTGCAACATGCCCAAAGTATGTCAGACGACGCTTCAGAATCCTTGACTCCAAGGAGCATTCTGGCTTCACCCTCTCCAGGACAAATCTGTTTGTTCTCTTAGCAGTCCACTGTAAATTCAACACTCTTCTCCAGCACCACAACTCAAAGGTATCAATTCTCTCTATCATCCCTATTCACTGTCCAACTCTCTGATGCATAACACGTAACTGCAAAGACTATACCCTGGATCAGGCGCACCTTAGTGTCCAGCCTGATGTCGTTGCACTTCTGTACTTTTGAGAGGACCCTCACAGCTGACTTTCCAAATGCAATTCATCTCTTGATTTCCTGGCTGCTGTTACCAAGAGTGTTGACTGTGGAGCCAAGCAAACTAAAACTGCTGACTATCTCAATCTCATCACCATCCATACTGATGCTGCCAACTGGCCCAGTGGTGAGAATCTTTATTTTCTTAATGTGCGCTTCAATCCATATTGAAGACTGCAGTCCTTGACCTTCCGCAGCAAGTGCTTCAGGTCCTCCTCAGTTTCAGCGAGCAGTGTTGTGTCATCTGCATAACGCAGGTTGTTGATGATTCTTCCACCAATCTTGATGCCACATTCCTCCTCATACAGCCCAGTGTCTCGGATGATCTGTTCTGCATACAGATTGAAAAGGTATGGAGACAGAATACATCCCTGACGAACCCTCTTGATTTTGAACCATCCAGTGTCTCCCTGCTCTGTTCTGACGACTGCCTCTCGGTCCAAGTGTAGGTTTCGCATTAGCACGATCAAATGTTCTGGGATTCCCATTCTTCTCAGAGGCAGCCACAGCTTATTGTGATCCACACAGTCAAAAGCCTTTGCATAGTCAATGAAGCACAGATAGACATTCTTCTGGTATTCTTTGCTTTCTGCCAAG